CAGTTTGGCGACCAATTGGCGGCCAATGGCTGCGACTCGGAGGCCAAGAGGGCGGAGGTGTTGACACAACTCAAGACAGAGTTCGACCGCCGAAGCCGTTTGGACGCGGAGGCCGTGAAACGGATTCGTGTGATTCAAGCGGATTACACGCCCAGACATCCGGAGGTCTACCACTTGGACGACAAGTATCTGCGGAATCAGTTCCGAGATGTAGTCGATCGGTGCAAAAGAGGCGATACGTTGTCTCAAGTGTTGCCATTCGTTGATGTGATCGACGCCCAGAAGAGGGTCTATAAGTTGGAGGTCTTCACCGAAGAGTTTTGCCGTAAACTCGTCGAAGAAGTGGATCACTTCAACGCCTCGTCGGTGCCAAAGGGCAGACCAAATACGATGAATAATTACGGTTTGTGTCCACACATTATCATTGAGATCGCCGATCACTATCGAAACGGTGGTCGAGTCAACTCGTGAGTGCTTTAATTGATTATCTCACGAGTGGTTCCCTTAATATCAGGTATACTTCTGAACGAATTGGGTTTCGACGACCACTTCCTGACCCCACTTCGCGAGCACTACTTGAATCCGATGGCCAGAGTGTTGTTCCCGGATTGGGTGGGCGGGGGAGCGGGAGGGCTGGACTCGCACCGGGCGTTTACCATCAAATACTCGGCGTCGGCCGACGCCGAGCTGTTCACCCACTTTGACAACTCGGAGGTGACGCTAAACGTGTGTTTAGGCAAAGAGTTCGCCGGAAGTGAAGTGTATTTCGCGAACTTCCGGACCGAACGGCGCGTCAGTGCGGCTGAGGCGGCGGTGACGGCCGTCGAGCACCGGCCGGGCGTCGGACTCATCCATTTGGGGCAACAAATGCACGGAACGCTTCCCGTGAGTGACGGCGAGCGCCAGAATCTGGTGGTGTGGATGCGGTCATCGGCGGTGCGCAACCGGTTGTGTCCGATGTGTGACTTAAAGCCAGAGCCCATACCCGCCATCGGCTTTGGGGATGGCTTTACGGTCGACGCCAATGAAAGTTAATCTCATGTTTTTGTTATGAATTTGTATTTTTATAGCTTTTTGTTATTCAAGATTTTGATTGCAATTTATTTTGTTATTTGAATAAAAGTTCTGTTATTTTATTAGTCAAATGAAATATGTAATTATTTTGTGAAATATAAATTAATTAAAAGTACAGGCATTTAAACAGCTAATAGTTTTATTTTGATAAAACTTCAATAAATGTATCAAACTTTGCAAATAAAATTTATTAACACTTTTAAGTTGAAATTGCAATTAACTTTAGGTAGACTATTTTCGTAGCCTAGTCTAGTAAAAAAACTCAAGCTCATTGCATTTTGATAAGGTGCCTGGCTATTGGGAAATCCCATTGTGAATCACAATGAACTTCACATTGAGTCCCATATAATGAGCACAACTCCCCCTAAAAAGTTTTGTTACATTAAGAATTATTATTTTATTATTTTATGTGCATTTATTTTTCACAGTTTAATTGCTAATTAATTAGTTAATCCGATTGTCAATTAATTAACTAAATTTCATGTAAGTACAATATATTTCTAATAGCTTTAATTAATGTTTAATTTGCATTACATTCACAGAGTAAGTCAAGTGTGAACTCAATTGAACACCCGGCCCATGCCTACAGGTGTACAGATGTAGTAAATGATTGGTCAGTAGGTGACCACTAAACCTTGGTCATAAACCTGTATATATATACTGGTGAATCAATTTAGTAACTCATAAACCTATTAATATCCTGTTCTCATTGTCTTATCGCAGGTTTATTACACATGTGTTCAGTAATTGTTTGAAAGCTATTAATCTCTGAATTCATTGAAATCAGTAATAGTTAGCGATTATGAGTGACTATTACGACAATAGTTACCCAATGGATGCCAATAGTGGTCGCAATTATGGGTTTCATTTGAATGAACCCAATGTTAACCATAACTACCAATCGATGCCGATGTACGCCATGAATGAGCACTCGATGGACACGAACTACAGTTACCCGATCGCCCCCAACAGAGCCTACAATTATAGGCCGTCCTATAGTCACAATCAATCCGATTATGACTATTATGAGCGCAGCTATAGTCCATTATCAGTGAAGTCATACCATGGATCGAGTCATTGGACACCGTATGCCACTGCCGGACAATTCAGTTATTACGAGACACAAAGTTCTTAGCATTTCTTGACTTATCATTAATTTTCTAAAAACTTTATTTAATGATAAAAATATTTTCCCCCCTCTTTTACGATAGGATTGTATGCTTCACAGTATACGACACACCCGTATCCGCCATACCCTCCAACCGGCGCCCCACCGGCCGCCCAAATGCCGCCCCAATCGTACGGATGGATCCCAACCACTGTCGAGGAGTTTGAGCTGAAGCCGAGTCAGAGTCTGTCGTCTCAGTCGAGCTTTGACGAGGAGATCGTTTCGGTGGCCAATGAGCCCATCGATCGGAAGCCAACGGTGGCTGAACTCCAGAGATTCAGCGCAATGAACGCCAACCGCATGACAACACCGGTTATTATTAGCGCCAATCAAGCGATGAGCCTATTGGTGA